AATTACATTGTAAAATTAAAGACTAATCGTTATTTAGTAGACAATACAATGTCAAACGACTTGACCCACCATCAAAATTTTTTTTGGGGTACTAAGTCTAGACTTTATGCATGTCCCGAATTAGCCCATATGAAACTTATATCAGATCAGGGACACGGAATTTATGTGATTTAGTGTGATTTGGGTTCATTGAGAGCTATCAGTTACACAAAAATTAATATGTAATAATTAGCGAGAATCGCACGTAACACAAATCGCATGATTTCCGTGTCCCAGTATCAGATCAATTTTGATGATAATTTTTTTTTTGATTGTTTAAAAACCCTATGGTCGTTAAATAGCAAATGCAATGACGTAACGATGGTTTTTTTTTTTAAAAAAAAAATACCGGTACGTAATAATAATAAATTAATATAAAATCGGGTTTAAAAATATTATTAGTTCAAGTGAAGAATCTATTCTATCGATTAATAGTTTTTTAAACAAAGGAAATTTTTCCAAAATAACTTTTTTAATACTAATAAAGAGGATGGGAAAATACGGATTCAGTATTTATGAATGTAAATATTTATTATGAGTATTAGTATATAATTTAATTTATTGCTTTCTTTTTTTTTAGATTTAGATTAAGCACGTTACTCTATACTATATATCATCTTAAGAATTTTTTTTAATCCCATAGGCAGGATTGCCTCGGGAGCGCCATAGGGCTGGTCTTCAATCGTGTCCTGGCACAGTTTCGTCCCCGTTAGACTCAAACCGGCGACCTTGCGATTGGGATCCGGGAGCGCAACCACTCCCGTGGGTCATCTTATGATATTTAAAAAAAAATTGAATTGTTTTAATTGTTAATATTATTCTCAAAGAAGTAAAAAAAAATTTGGAAACCTAACATAATTGCAAGTTAATAAAATAAATAATGTTTTATAAATGTATAAAGTTTTGTATCGCTATAATAATTAAAGGAATGGACGTACGTACGTACTGTAAAAATCTTGATTTTGTTAAAGCGATTACGACTATACTATTTTATATAGTATGCTAGTTTATATACTCAAATACAGTATACTCCACTACTTTACTATATATATCATACTCTATTACTATTCGTAATACCGGTATCGATTCCTTACAATAAATGTTGTTACACATTCTCGAAATATCATGAGTTTATTAACCAAATTTAGAATATTTATAGAAGGCTGATTGTCATGAATCTCATTTAGTACAAGTAAATTAGTTCACCCACAAAATTTTTTCCGGTGCCAATTAGATTGAAGGATCTGAAAATTACGCCTTTTTGTTTTTTTTTTTTTTTTTACAAAAATCGCCAATAACTCGAAATTTTGTTTATAAAACTGCTTTCTGTGTTCTAACAAAAAAAAAATTCCTTGCGAAATTTTGGTATAATCTATGTTCATTTCTTGACCTTAATCCTAACCCTAAGATGATATTAATTGCACTAAATCTTTCGCTTATTCGATTGTTTTCCTGATTGTTTTGATTTTACGTTACGCCTGATCTTTCGATCTAATTGGCTAAAAATCACGTGCCGGAAAAATTTTATGATATGATGTCATTTTTACGTATTTAAACATACACTTAAGCTTTTTTTTTAAAATTAGATGAATACTTACTCTGGTTCCGAGCTTTCAGCTATTATAAATTACATTGTTTGACTTCGACGTCTGGTTGGACTATTCGTTTCACCCATGCAATGGAACAAATACACCCAGAAAAGGATACACCTTCAGAAGAAAAGGTAAGGGTTTTCTTTTTTTTTTTAACAAAGGGGAAGTTTTTCGGTTTCCCGATATGTTTAATTTGAAGAATTATCCTAAAGCAATTGGTGGCTTCTTCACACTGTTGTAGCTTTGTTGTCAGGTACATTTAATAAAAGTTAGCTAATTGTGAGGGAGAAATTAGTTTTTTTTTTATTATATGTTACTAGGCATACAGATTTTGCAGTTGAAGTCTGTTATGTAAACATTACGTTATGTTACGTTTTTCCCTGCGACTATATAAAAAAGTAAACACACCATACTAATATAATTATTATTTTGTATTTTACAGCAAGAACAATATTTAGAATCTTTTTGGGAGGGATTAACTAAGAACGAAACGTCATAAGTATTTACATAACTAATAACTGTTTCGTGATTAAAAGTACGAACAAATCCTTGATGAGCTTGTAAATCATGACTGGACAGTACAGAAATTTATAAATTTTTTTTTTTTTTAATAATAAAATTTGTTGAAATTATTGGAATAATATTTTCTGCTAACTGTTTTATCAACAGGTTACTGAAGCCACGTGTCAGTCTACGACTATGCAAGTGCCAGCTTTTATAGTAATCGATGAATTATATCCGAATGTAGTCGAAGTCCACAATTAGATCTGGGGAAGCAACACTGTCACCTGGGGAACACGATTAGCATCATCATCTGAGGAAACACATTCTTGTTCTCGTCATCGTTGTTGAAGTCTATGATTAGCACCATCATCATCTGAAGAAACAACACTGTTATCTGGAGACACGATTAGCACCATCATCTGGGGAACACATTCTTGTTCTCGTTGTCGTAGTCGAAGTGGAAGTCTGCGATTAGCACCATCATCTGGGGAACACATCCTTGTTCTCATCGTCGTAGTCGAAGTTGAAGTCCACAATTAGCACCATTATCATCTGGAGAAACAACACTGTCACCTGGGAAACAACACTGTCACCTGGGAAACAACACTATCACCTGGGAAACAACACTGTCATCTGGGAAACAACACTGTCACCTGGGAAACAACACTGTCATTTGGGAAACAACACTGTCACCTGAGAAACAACACTGTTACCTGGGAAACAACACTGTTATCTGGGAAATAACACTGTCACCTGGGAAACAACACTGTCATTTGGGAAACAATACTGTCACCTGGGAAACAACACTGTCACCTGGGGAAACAACACTGTTACCTGGAGAACACAATTAGCACCATCCTCTGAGGAATCACATTCTTGTTCTCGTCGTTGTTGAAGTCCACGATTAGCACCATCATCATCTGGGGAAACAATGCTGTCATCTGGGAAACAACGCTGTCACCTGGAGAAACAACACTGTCACTTGGAGAAACAACACTGTCACCTGGGGAAACAACACTGTCACCTGGGGAAACAACACTGTTACCTGGGGAACACGATTAGCATCATCATCTGGGGAAACACATTCTTGTTCTCGTTATCGTAGTCGAAGTTCACGATTAGCACCATCATCATCATCTGGGGGAAATTACATGTCACCTGGAGAACACATTCTTGTTCTCATTGTCATTGTCGAAGTCCACGATTAGCACCATCATCATCTGAGGAAACAACACTGTTTCCTGGAGACACAATTAGCACCATCATCATCTGGGAACACATTCTTGTTCTCGTTGTCGAAGTCAAAGTCCACGTTAGCACCACCATCATCTTGGGAACACATTCTTGTCTTGTCGTCGTAATCGAAGTTCACGATTAGCACCATCATCATCTGGGAAACAACACTGTCACATTCTTGTTCTCGTTGTCGAAATCAAAGTCCACGATTAGCACCACCATCATCATCTGGGAAACACATTTTTGTCTCGTCGTTGTCATCGAAGTCCACGATTAGCACCATCATCATCTGGGGAAACAACATGTCACCTGGGGAACACAATTAGCATCATCATCATCTGGGAAAACAACACTGTCATATTCTTGTTCTCGTTGTCGAAGTCAAAGTCCACGATTAGCACCACCATCATCATCTGGAGAACACATTCTTGTCTCGTCGTTGTCATTGAAGTCCACGATTAGCACCATCATCATCTGGGGAAACAACACTGTCACCTGAGGAACACATTCTTGTTCTCATTGTTGTAGTCGAAGTCCACAATTAGCACCATCATCATCTGGGAAACTACACTGTCATCTGAGGAAACAACACTGTCACCTGAGGAACACAATTCTCGTCGTCGTCAAAGTCCACGATTAGCACCATCATCATCTGGGGAAACTACACTGTCATCTGGGGAAACTATACTGTCATCTGGGGAAACAACACTGCTGGGGAAACAACACTGTCACCTGGGGAACACAATTCTTGTCGTCATCAAAGTCCACGAGATAGCACATACCGCCCCCATGCAAGTAAGCATCAGAAAAACAAATCCGTAAGTATTAACTGAAACATTTAACCGCAGATTATATCACTTTATTTGTTGTTTTTATACTTATTTATGCTTCGTTATCTCTTTCATAGATCTTACCTCCAAACACCTGATAGTTTTTCTGAGTAATATTGAAACCTTATGTTAGTAACTAGCTGTGCGTTTTTTTTTTAGTATCGCGTGCATTTATTTGGTATGTTGTTGAGTTTGAATCTTTATATAAATCAGATAATAAACTATAGTTATGTTAGTAACTAGCTAGTGTTTTTTTCTAATATTACGCGCATTTATTTAACCACAAATTTTTACTGTGATGATTTACAAAAATATTATATTTAAAATTCAGTAAAGTTAAGGTGTGCTATATTTGGCGTTTGGTAACGAAGGACATGTAGTACAGTAGTAAAAATTAGAACGTGAATTCTTGGGATAAAGAAACTTTTTTGTCAAAATGAACTTTGAATTTTTTTAATTGGTAATCCGCAGTTAAAGAGAACAAATGAACTTTAAATTTTTTTAATTGGTAGTCCACAGTTAAAGGGAACAAATTTCATAGTAAAAATCGGCGGGCATTTACTAGTTAAATTTACCTTATATAGTAAGTGGAATGCCATGTGCTCCGTTTTTTAAGAAAAAACCCTACAGTAAACGATTGAAAAATACTCATGTTTCATGATATATTCAACAGATTTTGATTATTATAAGCTAAAAGAAGAGTTACTTAATAAAAAAAAAAACTTTTGTAAGCAAGTTTCACTTCTATATTATAAAAAAAACTTATGAATTTCCGACCATTTACCATTTAAATGTGTTATATATAATTTGGATTTTTTATTGGCTAAATTTATCGTCAATTATCGCGTGGTTTGTTAAACTCATGCTGTATAACATAAAGATTATTATCAAAACAAATTAAATTTATTGGTAATTTCATTAAGCGTGATACATCAACGTGATACATATCATTTAAAAAACCCCTCTAGTTCACCATTAAACCTTCCTGGGCCAATTTTACCATTGCGCGGGCCTACTTCTCTAAAAATTTCCATTTTAGGGGGACGTCTAAAGCGGAGGCAAATCATGTGATCAACCGCCAATCAAATTATAGAATTTTGATGATCGCCGGCGAAGCAAACCAAAAAATAAAAACCAAAACCCAAAACAAAAATGTCGGGAAGGCAATTTTACTTATAAATAACTACCTAAACCAATCCTAACCCCCATATAGGATGTCTGTTAATCGTGAACATTATTAAGAAATATGAGTGCCTCCGCTTTAGACGTCCCCTAAAAAGGCAATGAATGGCCCGATCACGGGATATTCAATTTGCCACCTTCGCCATAATACATTGCTTCCTTTGTGGCTAGATATAAACAGGTAAACAAATGTCAAAGACAATTCTGTTGCAGTATTATGTAACAAATGAATAACTTAGTATTTTTAATTGGTTGATACGTACAAATGATGCATACTAATATATCACTTGATCGTACAAAAGCTGAAACTACGCAAATATCCGTATTCCGTATATAAGCATGCATGACACCCGTTTATTTCTTGAAAACAAAATGTTCTTAAAATCATCTATTATCCAAAGTTTACTTTTCACCATATTTTTATCATTGATTTTCAAATATTTCAATCCAAATACTTTATCATGGAAAAAAATAAAAGATTTTCCACCTATAATCTCGCCTCTTGACTATCAACTATTTTCAAGTATTCTCTTTTTTATATCTATCTCTTTATCATTTAATCCTCCTACCACCAAAATCCACTTCTTTGTTCTTTATACAATAACTTTTCTTCAATTTTTATTTCCGATATTATACAGCGGTAAATATCACTGTACGCTTCAAGCAGTCAACTCTGTTTTTAATTTCGTAATTGCCTGCAAAATGTTATTGTGGCTAAAACAGTGTCATTTATCCAACACGCAAAAATCTGAATTCAATCCTTTTTTTTCAACTCTGTTTGCTTGGAGACCTGACTCATCAGAGATTGACAAATCAGAATATACTGATCAGATCACTCTAAAAAAATATTTTATTAATCAAGGGAAACGTGTTGCAATAATTATATTAAAATATTTGATTTTTGATTTTATATGCGAATGGGCTGAAACTTATCAACCAATTATCCCAGATAAATTTTATATCCTTCGATTTATTGATTATTTTTTGACTGGAAAAAAATTTATTACCCCATTTTATTTATTTTATCATTATGCCTTGGCAGTAATGTTGTATATTTATATTTCTTTGTTTTATGATGTTTTTGTGTTTTTTTATGGACTATTCTTGCTCCCGCTACTTCAAACCAATCAACCTCTTCAGGACTCAATCGATAAAGTCTCCGAATCTCAACACAAAATTCAACCATCAACAATAAAAGACATTAAAGAGTGGTTGATCATTTTATTATTCTATACGAAAGCTCCAATGAATTTACCTTTCATGTCAACGGGTCCGCGAGATTTTTGGTCGAAGCGTTGGCATTCTGTACTTAAAGAAATTTTTTTATATCTAGGTTATGTTCCCACCAAAAATCTTTTTGGTAGTCATAAAAAAATTGGAAAACTTTTTGGAATATTCTCGGCTTTTTTTGTTAGTGGATTATTGCATGAGTATATAGTTTATTGTATGTGGGGTAAGAGACCAGGCGAGCAGATGATTTTCTTTTTGTTTCATGGTTTATTGTTTATTCTTTGGGAATTTGTTGAAGATTTATTAGTTGTAAATAGAATAGCCATGCATGAAGTAGAAAATAGTTGGGGAAGGTGGTTATTTAAATTGTTGTTATTTAATATTATCGGAGTTTTCACTATTCCATCATTTTTTGAACCTTTTCTCCGTAATGAGTCTTTCTCTTGTGTGGTTCGGGTTGGATTATTTCATAATACTGTAAAATGGGATTAAGAAGGAAAACTTGGAGTAAAAGGTGGAATAAAAATTTAGATTGTGGATAAGACGCATAAAGTAGGTCTTAGATAAAGCACTGTTTATAGTGTATAATAGCATTTAGATTAATTATCTCATTCTAATTGTAAGTAAAGATAGCACCTATAGCTTAATGTGGTGTATATTTAAACTATAACTACATAATGGTATTCTGACGAATTTAACTTAACCCGATTTTTTCAACTTTACAGTCTTTAATTCAACGTATACATTCGACTCGTCAGTGAATTAGCTTTCATCACTTCACGAGCCAAGTTGACTCGATTCGAGTTTAATCTACTCGTCTCTAGTTGATTTAGGTTAAATTGGTAAGCTCTTTATCAATCGAGCTTGAGCCGACTCACCGAGTCGTGTCCATCTTTATATTTTATAAACTGATATCAACTTACATTGTGCATTAGATAATTTACTGACGCATGCATTTACAGACGTCTGATTAATATAAACTCTACAAAGTTACCGGTAGGATTTTGAAATTGTCTTTACGTTGAATTGAAAATGTAACCTAAAATTGGTGCGAAAATCAAACTCTAGTCATCAGGAAAGTTTAAAAGCTGATTAGGATCGATTAAAATCTAACGATTTTCATCAACATCGCCGATTAAAATTGATCGATTTAGTTTGATCATTTTAAACCGCTTTTAATTAATTGTTTGTATATGGGTGTTGGTAAGAGAAAACCTGTAAACCAATTCATTGATTTTCACTCTGGCGAGCTCAGCCCTGAAAAATTGATACCGCAATGATGACATGTGATCGAAATACGTATACAATTGTCGTTCTAGTTGTTTCTATATCACGTGTTACTTTGGTAATGATAAGAACTAGAACGACGATTGTATACGTATTTCGATCACATGTCATCATCGCGGTATTAATTTTTCAGGGCTGGGCTCGCCAGAGTGAAAATCAATGAATTGGTTTACAGGTTTTCTCTTACCAACACCCATATGTTGATTATAATCAATTATTATCAATTTGATTTATTGCGCTTTGCAAAATTTTGTGACCCCCTTGATTACTAATAGTTATAAAATGATTGTGATTGCGATTGTGATTGTGATTGCGATTATTAAAGCTGGCCAATTTATTATAAATCTAACTCAGATTTATGTTAAATTGGCCGGCCTTAACAATCGCAATCACAATCACAATCACAATCATTTTATAACTATTAGTAATCAAGGGTCACAGAATTTTGCAAAGCGCAATAAATCGATTATCAACACCACCGTCGATTATTATCGATTAAATTTAATCGATTAATTGTTACGTAGTAATCGTTAATTATCAGCTTAAAAATTTTCCTGTTGTAGACCTAAAAAGGGCAGAAAGGCTATGCTAATTACCAGACACGAAAATGCAGCTTATATTAAAAGAGGCATTTTTTTTTTACATATATTTGTTATGTGTCATTTCGCCATCCCTGTTAGTTTCAAATAATTTACAATTGCAATTTAAATGTATGTCAAATAATAATCGGTATAGTAATACCGATACATAATCTATAAAAATTTTTTTGTAAAAAAAAAAATAAACTAAATAAATAATGTATTAAATAGTCAAGAAATAAATTATATATTTTGGTTAATAAAAATTAATTGCAGATTAAAAATATTATGTATTTTTTATTGCAATATTACGCTTACTACATTCATATTTTAATAACCACCTTCTATTAATGTCTTTAATATAAATGCGTAAGAACTATATATAGTTTATTGGTTTATTCCATTAGAATTAAGATCATGTTTATAAAAAAATAACTTACATAAACTAACTTTGATTTCATGAAGACAACAATGTTCAATATTATATGTTCATCCATTTCAGCAGATTAATAATAAACAAATGCACAATTAATGATTTTTAATTTTATTTTTTTTATAGTCAAGGTTAGCCTCTTTGGTTTATTGCTTTTATTAGTTTATAGGATCATGTGGTGTCTTTTTCAAGGGGGTTCCAGACAAGTATATTCTAATGAGAATATATATAGACACATAT